AGGTTGGGCTTCCTGTCGTCTGCCCCGGGAGAAGGTTCCACTGCGGGCGCAGGGAGGGAGGTCCGTTTGATTTCTTTATACTGCAGTTTTGCTGGGGGCGCGGGGAGGGGCGAGAACTATGTAAAGTGATTTTTCTACCGAAACGGTTCCCCTCTCACTGCCGTAAACAAATAGAACTACAAAGAAATAGGGAAAGCAGGCTCGATCCAAGACCTTCCGACCCAGATTAACCTGGACCGCTGCAATGAGACAGCAGCCATAGACACGCTGGGTACCTGGTAACTTGAACTTGGCCAAAAGAATGGCGCTTCCTCCAGCCCTCAGTACTGCACTGTCCAGCCTCGGCTGGGCTCCACCTAAACCCGGACCGTGCTGCATTGGGCGGGGGCGGCCAGGCCAGACTGGACCGCGTTAAGCCCACCCCGCTTCCCTCCGCGGGGAACTAGGAGCATTCGGCAGGGCGTGGTCAGCACAAAGGGCTGGGGTTCTCCCAGTGGAAGCCTGTGACTCAGCTGTGAGACCACGCGGGTGTGGCCCTGATGGTTCCAGCTACTCTGCAGATGGTTCGGACAGGGCACTCCCTGCAGGGAAAGGGGATCTGTGCCATCTTCGAGGGCATTTTCCAGGAGGAAGTGAGTCACCCCAGGACTGGCTGACAATCTGAAGGAGTGTCCTTGACAATTGCGGGTGAGGGCAGTTAGCCTGGCAAGGGCACGGAGAGACCCCTGCTGGGTGATGCGCCTTCTGCCCGCTGGCTCCGCCTCACTGCAGGGTAGCTTCTCCCGTTAAGAGGTTTGCAGGTGCTGCAGTGCGCCACCCCCACCCCCCCACCACACACCCACACACCCAGGCATCTTGCGTTTCATCCCGCAGGCAGTGGGTTTTTATATCCCGCGCTTCAGGTGAGGCCAGCCTCATGGAAACACCCCGTCAGTGATCTTTGCCTCCAACGTGTTTCTGCAGATTGCAAAAGATAATGCCGGGGTTTGGGGCAGGAATGAGTTCACATAACGTGTGAGGTTTCTTCACCGGCCCTGCCTCCACGGACTCCTGTCCAGTTTCTCGAGCATCGTTGCATCCTCTGAATGGTACAGGCCCTCCTCCACAGCCAGAAGCTCCTTTCCTTATTGTGGTCCTTGGTCCACCATTTGGAGTTACAGTTCCTCAACTTTTCTGGAGGGTCCACTGTGCATAAAGCACCCTGATTTCTAGGTGATGCTCTCCCCTGGTGTCTGCTCCATGTCATGTCGGATGGGCCCTCTTCCTCCCATGTCTGGCCTCTGGCCACCCCCGTGCAGTCTGGCCTTGGCCTGGGTGGAGCCGAGACCAAGTGCCTTCCTGCTTTCCAATGACGGGCCCAAAAATGTGACTTTAGAGCACTACCCACTTATATGCCTTTGGCCACAGTCCAGCCTTTTAAAGTTGGGAGAAACAATGGAACCCTTTCAGGGTGACAATGCAGAAATCAGCACGCGGAGTGCCGGGGAAGCTGGACTGACATTTTAGGATTTTTCCTAAGCTTCTCATTTTCCTGGGAACTCACCAATGTAGGAACATTGCATCAAAAGCAAAAAAGAAGGAATTTGCTTATTTTTAACAATTTTCGGCACTTCCTAGCCTTTCACTCAATAACTACCATCCCACCCACCAATGGATTTAATACCAATTGTCACATGGCTGTTGTTTGCCAGCTCAGGTTGGCGCCTGACAATTCGTCAAGGAAAAATGGATGTCTCTGTTGGGGCGGATTCTGCATTCTTTCTTCCTTTTGGGCTGCGCCCAGAATCTTCCTTTGCTGCCCACGTTTCCAGTGGGGAGGTTTTCTGTTTGGTGAGAGGCGGCAGAGACAGCCCGCATCCAGATCCGTTGCCAAAACTCATTTTTCCTTAATTTCCTTTAGAGATCAAGTTCAAGAATGCCTTCTGAGTTCAATGTTCAAAAGAGACTTTTTTATTTTTCCTTTTTGAAATCTCTTAAGCAAAAAGAAGGAAACCTCGAACACAGTTTAAATAACAGATGTTTGTTTTCGCTGACACCCCACCGACTCTTTTCTGGGTGGGCTCTAAGAAAATTAGGGTATGAAAAAGACACAGAAGAGCGAAGTAAATGAGACCTCTTGCTCTTCAAAAGGGTCCTTCTGGAAGTCACCGCCTGCGTCTGGGCACGGGCCCAGAGCAAACATTTGGGATTGCTCAGGAGCAGACTACTTTTCGAAGGGGCCGCCTGCTTCTCCTCGGGTGGTCAAAACTGACACTATTATCAATTTTGTTCTTATTGCTTCTTAAGGAGGCTCTACAAGGGCAGGGTGCTAGCTCCTCGGACCCCGCCCAAGAAGCCCACAGTCTAGTGGGGAAAGAAACAGAGACACAGTTAACTAGAATTTATGACATGTTTTTCGATAGTATGCCATTGGCTGGTGACCTCCCCAAAGGCAAGCACCTTGGAACGAGTGTGTGTCTGCCTGCCTCTGACAGCATGACCAGGACGTGAAAAGTAGGTGCTCAGCGTAGGAGAACCGAAAATGGAAAACTGTGGAGCCCAGAATTCCTTTCTGCAGAAGACCTATTGCCCAGGCAAACAGGAGATACACAGACATCAGAATAAAATGATCTGATAAAAAGTGAGTGAACAATGAGGACGTTACATCCCGTGGCACTCAGAGAGAGAGAGAGAGAGATCGAGATCGAGAGATCTCAGAGAGAGAGAGAGAGAGATCGAGATCGAGGGATCGTGCCAGGGGCTGACCAGACCTGTTTAGCAGGATGCATGTTTTCTCCCCCGCTTGTGGAAGCTTGTGGAAGCTTGTGGAATGTGCTCTCTTCTGTGCTCTACTGTTCCGTTGGCAGGCGGCCCCTTCCCCGGCCCTTCCTGCTCTCTCGTCTGCCCGCTGATCTCTGAGCTGCCCGGGTTTCAGCCCAGACCGGGGTGATCACACCTGCACCTCAGCTCCTGCCAAGGGGATTATCTGATTCATTCGCTCAGCAAACACGGAGTTAGTGGTTATGAATAAAATAATGCAGTTATTATCCTAGAGGAATTTAAATCTAAGACAGGGAGACAGACTGGTAGACAAACAAGTGGGCTGAGCATTTCGGGTGCAGGAGGACATCATCTGGGGCACAGGGAGGACGCAGCTGGCCCTCGGCCCCAGGCCCCAAGCCCTCCAGTGAAGAAGCACCTAAGCCAGAAGCCAGAGGCCAGCCGGCCCCGGGGCGAAGAAGCATGCAGGGCGGCTGAGGGAAGACGGCCTCGCCCTCTTGGAGATAGTAAAGGTGGCCTCGGCTCACACCCGTTTTTCTCAGAAGTCCCTGCTTCTGGGGCCCTCACTCCGGCTCTGCAGGGTCCTTTCCTTCTGCTCTTCCCTGGGAAGACAGTGAACTGGGTGTCGCCCCACAACTCCTAGGGTCTCCGGGACTTGGTCGCGAAGTGCCCTGCCCTCTGAGCTTGGGTAGAGATATTTTAAACCTCCTTTCCTGAGATTTCGGAACTGGGATGGGATCCCACATCCTTCTCCCACAGGTGACTCACTCGGTTCAGATCTCATAAGGTGCTGGACTGCCAGAACCAACCCAGGCCAGGCTGACCCATCTCTGCCCACGGCCCTCCGAAAGCACGCGGGAGATGGGGCAAGCCAGACCCGGCCGTGCAGGGAGAGAGGGGGACCAGGGCGCTCGGGCCCCTGGAATCCGCCTGCCAGGGCCGCGTGAGCACCGTCCGCTGCGCGCTCTCCAGGACTCTGCCTTCCCCGTGAATCACGCCGGGTTCTCCAGCCCTCCCCAGAGCAGCACATTCCTTGGCATGCTGGTTCCTGTACTTTTCTGGGGATTAAGGGGTAGAATTTACTGTTCTTAAGTGTAATTGGTCAATGCTCGTGTTCGGCAGCTCCACCTTCTCCTCCGTAAAAGATGGCATTTAGAGGCCTGTGTCGAACACGATCTGCCAGCAGCAGAAACCAGGCCGAACGCGTGTCTCGTGTTCCCACTGGCGCTCGCCAGCAGGGGAAGGGGCTGGCCTCTCCTCCGACCTGCGCTCGAAACCTATTCTTGTGATTGGTTTTTTAGGAATGGTATATTACAGTCTCCGTTCAAGTTCATCTGTCTCGTACACAGTAGCAATTTTAGGTGATCCTGGCCAAAGCTGCTCTGTTCTGGCCAAAAATTCCTTCCAATTCGGCCAGAATCTTCTGAGCTTCCGTCAAGCCCTGGGTGCTGAGTCTTGATGAGACCTGTCCCCCCGGATCATGGGACAGGTCTCCTTTCCTCTCTTTTAAACTCTTCATGACAAAAAGCTCCTGCTCTCCCACTGTACCCCAGATGGTGAAAGTCACTGTTCTGTCCTTGCTGCCAAATATCTGTCAGGTCCCCAAAAGGGTGAAGGGACACTCTTACTTGTTCCTTCTCAAGAACTAGATAATGAGCTTTGGGTAGTCGGGGGGAGGGTCGGACAAGTGCATTTTACTATTGAAGATGCACAGAAATGTCTCTGTTGCGAGTTCAGAGCTTTAGTAAAGAAGCATACCCAGCAGGAAAAATTCATCCGTAAGCGACTTCTAAACCCTGTAAGTAGACAGAACCGGGTTCGCCAGTGGAGCTTGAGGGCTGAAGTTTTCACACTAACCAGGCTTGGCCGTGTGGGCCGTTGGTTGGCACGCCACCGTATCTAAGAGCCCCATTTACCAGTGTCAGGAGGAGTGACGAAACATCTGTAGGTGCTTTGTCATTTAAAAAGAGACACACTGATCTCGTCTCTCCAGATGATTCGAGGTTTTATTCTTCATTAGGTGATTCATGCAGAATTAGCAGGCAACCAGGTGAATCCCTCACTCCGAGGCCCAGAACCCGGGGCGAATCGGTCCTTAGAGTCATTGAATTTTGCAGCTGGAAAGAATCCAATGGCTGAGCTAATAATCACCCTCCTTCCAATTACCCTCAGTCAGGAGACCAGCAACCCATGTCGCTTTAAAGTTAACGGAAACCCTGTCTGTCCCATCCTTCCTGCAGAGCAGCAGACCGCGCCGAAATGCCGTCTCAGATGGAACACGCCATGGAGACCATGATGTTCACCTTTCACAAGTTTGCTGGCGATAAAGGCTACTTGACGAAGGAGGACCTGCGGGTGCTCATGGAAAAGGAGTTCCCGGGGTTTCTGGAAGTAAGTGCTAGAAGCATGTCTGGGTGGCGACTGTTCGTAAGGGGAAAGGGATGCAAAGATGACGCGGCCCCCGCCCGCGAGGGGCTTAGAATGGGACGCACGGCGGGACGCCACGCAGACGGCCACGGCGAGGCGGGTGTCAGAGGCCATCGGGAGCCCTCCGCGCCGCTGAGACCGAGCTGCAGGAAAGGCCTCTCAGCAGAGTCCCCATCCCCGGCAAGGCCGCCTGGACCTGGCACGGGAGATGGCGCGTCCTTGTCCCAACCACTTCGAGCAACTGAATCTCGCTGCTTAAATGCGTCAGATAAAAGGCTTTCTAAGACTTTCCCGACTCTAAAGAAACGGTGTAGAACACCCGAGGGCCACGCATCGCTCCAGAAAGAATTGCTTTTCACACGGAAGACGCGAGAACGCAGGAGCACGGCTTGCGTTCTCGCGTCACCTGTACAGACCGAGGCATCCGGGAGGACTAGACGGGGACTCTGCCATCGGCTCCCGCGTCACTCAGGACATTGGACAGCTGTCCTTGTACGTCGTGGGCCCTCGAGGGATGGTTGATACATGTCACTGAAGGTGAACGGTGCTTGACAAAACGCTAGATTGCGATGCACGCCGTTTCCTTGCCACGACCGGAGCCACTCGGAAGGGTCGTCACGGGGCTTGGTGTGGAATGACGCGTCCGCCCTAAAAGGTGACGGGGGTGACGGTGAAAGGCGGGTCCTGCCTCGCGCCTGGACGAGGGCATGGTAGTCAAGGCCCTGCCTCCCGACGGAGGAAGCAGGGTTGTGCACCCCATGATGACATGTGATTTACATGTCATCGATGCCAGTTAAATAACCGGCTGTCAGTTGCCTCGCTAGCCTCTCCGAGCGCCAGTTACCCGAACGTTGTCCCAGAATGAATCAGGATACACTGTGACTCTGCTTCCCCACAGTCCCGTGAGACGGCCCCGGGCCAGGGGTCAGTTCACAGACTGCAGGGCCTCAGTTCCCTCCTCTGTAAAGCAGGACCGCTGGACGTGTAACCTGCGAGGTCACGCTCCCCCGCTGCGATTCTTCTAGGCAAGCAGAAAATGCTCGGTTGTGAGCCCGCCCGTCACACGAACAAAGCCATCTTGGTGACTAAATACCCGTTAACCGCGTTGTTGCATAAGTTTGAAGCCAGCGTGACTGTCACCGGAGACGCAGGCCCTTCCTCCCTAAAGGCTTTGTGGCCTGAGGACAGAAGGGTGTGTGTAGCGTGGGGTGCTGACCGTGGAGTCACATCTGTTCCAGGCGTGGGCCACACGTCCGGGCACAGCCACGCTCACCACATTCACAGCGTCTTGTTTCTAAAGTTGACTCCGTCTCTCCTCCGAATTTTACTCCTCCTGACCGCGGCCAGGAAGCTGGGAGCGAGGCCAGAGTTAACGGAACCCACCACGCACAGAGGCAGCTGCACAGAGCGGGCTGTCGCTGTTCGCTTGGGGCAGGAGTTTTCGGACCACGTGTAGGTAAAGCGGCCGCCTCCCCTACAGGGTCCCTGAGTGGTGTGTAGACACCCAGCACACTTGAGGCACCGAGTGTCAGCTCCCTCTCTGGTACACAGTGTACGGGACTCATAAATCACTTTGTTTGAGACCCTTCCACTTCTAAACGGCCATATTTCCCTCTCTGGCTGACGGTGCAGCCCCTACAAGGGAAACCACACTTTCTCACTTCTAACCATCATCGCTGAAGGGGAGTGTGATCACGCCGGTCCCCAGAGAAGCAAGAAGAAAGGAGGCTCTTGCCTGCCGCCTGGGTTCCCCACCTTCACAGCGGCACAGGGGTCACTGCAGTTCCTGAATCCACCTCGCGTATCCCTTTTGAGGGAGTCCAGCGAAGAGCGTGGCACACGCGGGTTCACCAGCTCATCAAGCCTGGAAGCGACGTCGGAGACACCAGTCAGCCTCCTCAAGGCACAGCTGGTGCACGAAGGCCCGCCAGGTGTGACGACTCAGTCCAGGTCACGGGGCCAACATGATGCGAAGCCACCCCGGCGTGGCCCCGGCTGTGGCAGAAGGGAAGAGGAAGGAATGAGGGCCAGCGACCCCTCCGCCCTCCCCAAACCTGGCACCCCCCACGGCTCCGCCAGCATCTCTTTAAAGCCACGGGACGGGGATCCGAAACTTACCCCCTAAATAACCTTACGAGACCTTTTTCTCCCTTTCCTTTTGAAAGGACTTGACTATACCAGGAATAAAAGTTTGTTAAGGGAATGTCGGTTTAAACTACAAAATGGGGAGTTTAGGGTGGTTCTTGGGCAGAATCTTGTGATTTGAAAATTGGAAACAGCTGAGCTGGACACACACAGCTGCTCAGGAAGCCTTGCTGGGTTTTAAGCGGCAAGAGCCGTGGGCTGAGAGCTGGGATGCCTGGGTCTCCCTACTCTGGCACGGAGGAGGCCATTTCTAAGGTCTCTGTAATTCTATGAAAACGTGCCACGGAATCCTCTTTCCTAGCTTAAAATATAATAAATAGCAATTTACTGAGATGCTCCCGCAAGGCAGCAAAATCCGTTTCGATGACCTGCAAAGACCACTTACGACCTAAAACTGGGCGCTGACTGATAGTTCGGGCCTTATTTTGTATTTTTTATTTTTTCAGAATCAAAAAGACCCTCTGGCCGTGGACAAAATAATGAAGGACCTGGACCAGTGCCGAGACGGCAGAGTGGGCTTCCAGAGCTTCTTCTCACTCATCGCCGGCCTGACCATCGCGTGCAACGACTATTTTGTAGTGCACATGAAGCAGAAAGGGAAGAAGTAAGCAGCGCGGAGCAGCACCTCCCGCCCTGAGGGGAGTTCGCCCAGCCAGCCGCTGGGGCATCTCTGCCCCTTAGCTTCCCCGCGTAAGGGTTCCATGAGCAGACTGGGACCCTTAGAAAATGTACAAATGAAATCCTACCCCCATTTTGACGAGAGAAAGAAAAGCCAGTTAAAGCCAGATAAGCTTTTGATTTTTATATTGCTTGCATCCCCTTGCCCTCAATAAACAAAATTCTTTTTTAGTTCCTAATTTGAGACAGAATGTTTGTTCCTTCTTGAGAAATCCCTGTTCCCAGCTTCCCCTCACACAAAGCCCGCAGGCCCTGGAGCAGGGAGAGGGGTGCCACCCACAGACCCGGAAAATGGGAAGGCGCTTGGCGCAGGCTTGGAGTCTGACTTCTCTCACTGACCTAACCTGTAGCGGTGTCTGCCCAAAGGAGCACAGCACCACGGATTGAGAGGAGGCGCTTCAGGAACATACTGTCATTTTATCATTGTCGGGCGGTCTGTTAATCCACTGCCTTTCCAGCCCGCACGGTGGATGTCTGAGATGTCTACGTCCATTTTTCAGAGCAAAGTCTCAGCAAACTCTAGGGTAAAAATAAGTCCACAAGACAACTAATCAAAGGAGTCTAGCGCGATGCCTCAGTGACATCGCGTTAACATTGACTGAGCTGTCGGGAAATGGACCAGCACGACTTATATCCTAGGATGGCGCTTTGGTGTAAAGTGCTGGTATTGACGTCTTGGTAAACAGCAAAACGTGTCTCCCAGCCGGTTCACAAGCCTCGGCACCTGTGCATTACGTTCTATGTGCTTATTAATAACACAATGCTCTTTGAATCGGCATATGAAATTGTTCCAAGTAAACAGGTTCTATGAAATGGAAACATTTATTTTTATGATTGGACACATCATAATTCTGGGGAAAAGTTCAATATAAGGTCATCTACCACCACAAGGGAAAGCAGGCAGGAGGGAACCAGGGTAATCCAAAACTAGCTTTGGGGAAAAGAAAGTTAATAAAATCAAGGTCAAAGATAACATTCCACCATTTAACTTTGTCTCAGCCATCAAATGCACAAGGTAAGACGACTCACAGCGTGGTAGCTGTGGGATTATGTGAGCACGTGTGCGAAGCGGGGTTCATTACGGGGTCGTGGATGGAGGAGGGAAGGGAGCCAGCTGAAGAAACAGTGCAGGGGCGACTCGCAAATCCAGGCCATAGGACCGCCCATCAAGGGAGCTGCTGGCTCGGGGAGCTGCCTGCTGA